TTCAGTCAGTCATTTGTGTGTATGCAGGTGTGGGACATTCCAAATGTTCCAAAAGTGAGCACTACACGAATGGACAACAGTTTGCAGGGTAAAATAAAACATTGTCAACATATTATTTTGTGCCACAAGAAGCAGAATGTTTTAACAGTACAGTAGTTTGAATATATTTGTTGTTTACCTTTATCAGACCTCTCAGGCACCCACAACCAGCGTCTGATCGGGTAAGACTAATTACAAATGTAATTATACCATGTAGGTTTGAATTTGTGAACATGAAATCAATAAATACCTTTGTGTGCACTTATTTCCTGGGTAAAAATAGGATGGAGCACCAACCCCATTCCAGGAAGAGGTCCAGTCTGCCCCGGGTCAGAACCACTTCTATAGGTAAACGATGTTGACAGTTGCATCGTGACACAGTTGTTTGCTGTGTATCTTTATTTTACATTTGTTTGTTTGTATAGCCTCCAATCACAGTGGGTAACATTGCCAGGAAGCAGAACAATTATACTTTTATACATTTCCAAATGACACCCACAACATCTGACATCTTAGTGAAGACGATACAAAAAACACCCACAAATATTTTTCAAAAATCAGATATTTTTTGTTGCATCCATTTCAAATGTTTACAAGGATTGTGCAGGAGTATGACAAAGTGCTGTTATCGACATACTTTTGTAAATATGACTGTCATGCATATATTATGTATTTGAAAGTAATTATTCAACTGTCTTCTCACTGCAGCAACTACACAACTGTGTATGCACTTATCATTATTGATAGCCAGTCTGAGCCAGAAGACAACATGGAGCAAAGGTATTAATTGTTACTATTACCACTTAATTTGTCTATTCTATTCTGTAAATCTTATTACTAGCTTCATCATTTAATATTACAATACATCACTTTGTCTTTCCCAGCACAGAATACCTGACTGCGGAGGACATTGTTGCAGAACTCTCTGCAAAAATAACAAATACATCTTGCAGCAGGTTCAATATGAATAGAGCCAATGTGTGGGATGGAGCAATCCGCGGCTTCAAAGGTGCCTCATTCGATCCCTCTCATGAGATGTCAGTTAAGTTCACTGATGATGAGGGACACACTGAGGATGGAGGGGACACTGGTGGTCCCAAGCGTGAGTTCCTGACCCTCCTTATGGAACGCCTGAGAATGAAGAAAACATCACGTCAGCAACTGTTTGTGCCCCATGGCGGTGTGACTTCCCAGCCGCTCACTGTCTCAAAATCTGATTCTAAATGTATATTGTTCTCTATAAAGATACAACTAATACACAATTATGAATGTATAATATAAGCTGTTTTGTGTATTTAATCATGCATTGGTCTACAATTTAATGATGGCTTCTACATATTTCACATAAACAGACAATGAAAAAATGTGTCCTTCATGCTGATAACTAGTGATACGCATCTGCCAATTAGTATTCTAAACAGAGTAGTGTGTTGAATCCTTATTTCTTGCATTTGAAACAGATACAATAAAAAAAGTGAACTTAAAGTCAACTTCTGCCAAAAACTGTACATGTTTGCCACAGGAGCCACAGAACACTTGAACTGTCCCCAGATGCTGGCCACAGAAAGGACAAAACATGGCAGCCTGAAAAGACATACATTGATGTATCTACCATAGCACCTCCAAGGCGCTAAAAATAAAACTTCAAACATCGCAAAATAAACTGGTCAGACTACTGCTTGACCTTTCATCTAGAACCCACCTCACCTCTGCCCACTTTGACAAACTAGGATGGCTTAGAGTAGACGACAGAGTACAGCTACTTGCAATGGGCCTGGTCTACAAGATCCACTACACCTCTATGGTACCCATGTACATGTCAAAATTCTTCCCAAAGGTCAAGGAATACCATGATCATAACACCAGAGGGAGCTCCACAAATCATGTGAAACCCAGATTTGGCACAAAAAAGGGGGAATACACGTTTCGCAATTATGCCACATCAAGGTGGAACGCTCTTCCCACAACTGTAAAGGAAAGTAAAACTATACTTACCTTCAAAACCTCTCTTAAAGAGCACCTTCGGGGGAGAGCATTGCAAAACTGGCCCCGGTAATGGTACAAATCTCAACCTGTCGTTCAATGGACAGCTTCCCCCCCCCCCCCCCCCATCTATGTATATAGGCCTACTCGCATTTTAGACTCTGTTACTAACTGTATATCTGTAGACTTGGTATGTCTTAAATGTCCGGTTAGGATGTATTAGAACGAAATCTAAATGAAAATTGTAAATAAGCAATCTGTATGTAAAAAAACCACCTGTATGTAAATTGTAAATAAGCCATCTGTATGTCAAATATGTCTTATATGTCTTAAATGACATGATGAATTGGAAATGGGGGACCCTGATGTAAACAAGACGAAAGTCTTTCTCTGGTCTGCATCCCCTTAACAATTGTATGTTTTGAGCTGTACTGTACTGTACCCAATATACAAGCTGTTAATAAACTTTTCAATCAATCAATCAATGTAGTAAATCCATTTAATCAAGTCAATCAAAAACACATAGTCTAAATAGTGGTTAGCTAAATAAATAGAAAGATACATCATGTTTACCGTTGAATCTGTGTTCTCTCTCTCCTTGAATGTCTCTATATTTGTTCTTGAGCATGTCTAATGCACACTACTCTCCTGTCATTACTTTGTCCCTCTTCACATGTTGTCACATCTCTCTCTCTCTCAATTCAATAGCTTTATTAGCATGACCATAGTTACAGGTAATTGCTAAAGCTCTGTATAGTTGCAACATCTATACACAAACATATACATATAAACAAACTGCTAAGAATTCAAATGTCCTTTTTCCGCGGCACTCACTATGGCCCGTGTTATTTGCCTGCACTTGATTTGTCATCTCTTTTAACAATGTTCTTCCCTCACTTTATCTTCTCTTCACGTGAAGCTCTCCTCAGCTGGTGTAGTAGTTAGGCACACTAACGCTAGCTATATAAATATGACGCTCTATGTATAAAAACAAAACTTACCTTCTTATATCTTTCTCCACTTAAATGAACTTTCTTTCCTCTCGATTTCCATCACTCTTGTTCGTTCTCTCTATGTCTGGTCAGACATCAATCTGTTCCACGTAGCGCGCCCCCTAGAGGCCTGGAGCACTTCCGGAATGTTTTTTTGTGTGTGTTTTGGGATTTGTACGTGCTTTGGACTTTGCATATCATTTTGGTATTTGCAGCGTTTTTTTGTTGCGTTTGTTTTCGGGGTTTGTGTGTTGTATTTAGTTTGCAACATTTCTGTAAATGCAGCGTTTTTCTGTTGTATTTGTTTTCAGGGTTTGTTTGTTTTTCATTTCATTATTTGCAGGTGTTTCCTGCTTATGTATGTGTTTTGGGCCGTTGTTCCGCGTTTGCACCTGCCGGTCACCGTAAAATGTGCCTCTCTTAACATCATTGAATTATGTCTCATGAATTATATGAAAAACCAACATCCTCACCTGTCAATTTTAAGGGAGAAATAACAAAATAAAAAAAATATTTTCCACATTACCTAAAGGCAGCAGAAAAAAAAAAGTTCACTGAACCATTTTGGTCCTATGGCGCCATCTGCTGGTTATATAAGTGACACACACGTGAGGAGCTGTTAAAAAAAACGACATTAATCATCTGAATAACAATGAGTGAAATGCTTTAAAAGGTAGATGCTGGGATGTGTTTGTAATTGTATGGTCAACAGATCTTCTTAAATCTTAAATAATGGTATAAATTCAACAAGGCAATTAAATGTAGAAATTGTGTTTTCTTTTATATAATAATTAACCAAGCAAGAATAATTTCATTTGTTTCATAAAAATATATTTTAATAGTCACAGTATGTATGTGATACATAAAAACATATAGTCATACTCAAGGCTTCTATGTCATAATGTTCTTAATAATAGTGTAGAAAAAGTCATACTATAGTACAAAAACAATGTCCTAATATGTGTAGCATAAGAAAGTTTAAAGAAATATGAGTCAAATATATATTAAACCATAAAATGTTTAATAATGTAGTATAGTGATACAAATGGCATAAAGAAACGTCATACTCCAGTATGTCATAACATCATAACCAGGGTTATAGCTTGTTTGCCATTTTTGAAAAAACCTTTTTAGTTGGCAGTCTACGAAGCCTTTTGTAAAGTTGTTCACTCAGTGGACCATTAATACATTTTTAATAATTAGAGTGATAAATGATACATTTTGATATATTTTTATGGAATTTGGGACGCTATTCTAACATTGAGGATCTTTTGATTTCATCCTGAATTGGGAAGGAATTTTGTTCGGCTCCGAGTGCTTTGGATTAATAACCTGTAAAACAAACATTTCATTTAAGAAATGTTTTACCTATATTAAATCAGAGAGAATAGAATGCCATGAAACATAACATTCAAAAGGTCATAGTTTTGTATGTCCTTAAAATGACATTAAGAAGTCATAGTATAGTATGCCATTAAAATATAATTAAGAAACTCATAGTATAGTATATAATACCTCAGAAAAAAAGCGTTTATTCTTTTTAAAGGCATTAATTGTCCTTACATTGATGTATCAATTAAAACCCTTGTAGACGCAAAGTAATATCACAAGCTGAAGATCTCATTTTTGTTTGAAGTTATGGAGACAGTAGTTGTCCCACTACTAATTTAAGGACAACTACTGTCTTCATATTGCTGCAGTTATGACGAAGAGCACTCCAGGGTGGGGTCAGTACCATAGACTGTATATATAAGGTCAGTACACAGAAACCTGACTGCTGGGTGTGGTCGGCGGAACGAGGCAGTGGAGCTCCACCTTTCAGTCGGTTTAAGAGTCACTAACTGCTCATGCAAACAATAATAATATGACAGTACAAACCGTCCCTGAACAGAGAGATCGCACCAAATATAGATAGCAGTTAGTGAGACTTTCCAATAACAGATTTAAATGTCCAGACTTAACATAAAAAAGAACACCAAGCAAATCTTTTCATCACAGTTAAGATTTATTTCATTCAACATTTCACATTACAAATATTTAAAAATTATGCATACTGTTATAAATAGTTGGCTGCAAACAATTAAATAACATTAGATTTTTCTTTTTCGTTTCACTAGCACTTCTACAGACCAACTCCTAGAAATATGGACATATCCGTATTACATAACTTAATTAGAAAGGAAAATACAAAAATAGGAACTTATAAAGTGAAATGACAATAAAAATTAAGGTGATATCTTAAGTAAAAAATGCTATTAATAAATACAACAACCTTCCCATACACAGTTAAAAACTATTGAAATCTTGCCATTAAGTAACATCATTAACAGACAAATATTTAAATATTTATTTTCCTTCAGAAAATGTGAACCATATATTGTGGAGCACAATATAGCAATTAGTAAAAACTAGACACTTTAACATATTAAAAGCTTCACCTCAAAAATATAACAAAAATCTGATCAAAATTATAAAAATCAATTATACATTCCAATTAAAAATATACCAATAAACAGCTAAATACATTGTTGACCTAATAATTACAATGCAATCAATCACAGTAGCTTAAAATAAACAAAATAAGCAAATGAGCACAAAACCTTTAATGTTTTAAAAATAACTTCAATTATTTATATTAGTACAAATAGTTTGATTTCTTTTCTTTTTTACAAACACCAGCATGAAAAGGATTACAATAACAGTAGAAAATGACTGTGAAAAACATATTAGCATCTTCTTTAATTAAATGTCTGCAATTAAAAATGGCATTAAAGAATTACATTGCAAAGAGTCTTTATCTGGAAAAAGGTTCAAAAGAAGTATTGCACATAACAACTTGAAGTTAACTTGCAACATTTACCACATTCAAGTCTTTAAGCTCCCCTTCCTCCAGATAGGTCTATATAATCACCTCGACAGACAGCGGGGATGAGTTCTCAAGTCTTTTTAAAACAGTGTTGTAAAAGGATGCTAAAGTCCTGCACTGCCAAATCGATTTATAGTTAAGTTTCTGTCTTGTTTCTCGTCTTTTCTCTCTGTCGTGTGCATCCTGCAGAGGTCTGCGAATGGGGAAGCGAGGAGATCAACACGTGGCGTGGAGGGGAGAGGGGGAGGGGGGGTGAGGTGAGTGGGTTTGGGGTGTCCTTAACAACTTAATAGTTGAGAAACATTTGGTGCACACCACAACAGTTAATTTTTAATAGCTAATTCATGTACTTGTCATTTTCTCTTTTTTTTGTCATGCATGCTAAGGATTACAATAGGTGCTAGTTGGCAAGTTCAAGAATATATATATACTTTTTTTGAAATATTAAAATATCTAAACACCAAACATCCATTCTTGTGATACGAGACTCAGCGTTACGCCTGAACCAAATTTTGCATTCTCCTTATATTAAGTTATAGTCCATCTATGGAGAGGAAACCAAGACAGAAGTTACCATTGTCCAACTAGTATAGCCATGTTTAGAGACATTAACATCAATTTCAAATGACAACTTGTTTTTTTTGTTTTTTTTTGTTATTCTCGCCATGCTGTTATTGACCAGATTGACTGGAAACATCTAATGTACGAAAAGCTAAGACCAAGAGAGCAATAGACTTTGGTCTCTCCTCTGCAGATGTGAAGTCGCACCAACACAAGTGCGCACTTAGTTGTAAAGTTTCCTCAGCACTGAAATGTATAAAAAGCATAATTGAAAATAATATATATTGAAATCACTCAACTTTTTTTCTTAAAATGAACATTTCCATATATGCAGATCTCTCAGTAACAAAAGTACAAAAGCTACCTTTCACAATGTGAAAAATTGAGGTATTGCAAAAAGGAGTTTCCCCATTTGTGAAAAATGTGCCTAAAATGACTGTTGGAAAAAGAAAAAATATTTAGAAAAGTAGTGCATAATAAATGTTTATATGTGCATGACAAAATAATTTAGCTAGAAAACACTGTACCAAAAATCAGCAGGCCATGTATAAAATAATCTTTTTTTTTCATCTCATTTAACAGCAAATTCTTCACAAAGTGTTTTAACTTCTAAAATGCTCACCCACCACACCCACAAAACAAATGACTAGGGTGCAAAACTGGTGCGACGACACCACGCCCATATGAGGAAAGGTTTCTCACTAGTGTGTATAATCAAGTTTCTGTACTAACTCCCTGACATATTTAAATGCTCGGCTAGCAGGTTACTGCGTGACTTAAAACGTCAAACAAAGGTGAGGATTAGTTTGACTTTAGCTGTGTGAATGTGCACTTAATGTTAAACGTTCCGCGGACCTATTTGAGATAAAAAGAACTACCAGCGTGCACCTCCATTTTGAGCTATGGAGAACTTGTGTGTGTGTGTGTGTGTGTGTGTGTGTGTGTCTGCAAGCCCTGTTGTTTTTCCACTGGTGTTCTAATGGGTTTTGACTGCACTGTCAAATATATATATATATAAATATATCATGTTCAAGGCCAATCTTTGGTTTGCTGGGCTTGACAGTTAAGCAAAACTGGGTAGAAGTGACAGAATAATAAAAAAAAAAAGATATATGAATAAAAACTTCCTTGAAGTAATGAGAAGGAACATAAGAATAAAAAAAACCTAAATAAGAAATGAGCTACAGTATGACCCACTACTGCACAGCCATCTTTGGTTCCCAAAAAGCCACTGGGTACAACCGACTGTTATCAAGAGCAAACTGCATGTGGGTCATAAGTGTGTAGTAGTAGAGCACACTGCAGAGACTATCTTCATTTATGCTTCAAAAACACTGGATGCTGAGTTGGATTAGCTTGGCAGGAGAAAGGACAGAGGGTTCGCCAAAAGGGCAGATCCCTCCATGAATCAAATGTGTGCTGACGATTGGGAAATCCGATAAACTTGAATTGCTTCTCGCATTAAATGTAGCTGACTCTCGGATGCGAAGTAGAACTTGTTCATTAAAGACTTGGGAGAATTGCACAAATGCATCGAAAAAAGACTAACAAAGGACAGGCATTTTCCATTTGGTGGTAGCCCTGTAGAAACTGCAATAAAAAGGTGGACTACTAGACCACCCTACTCTCGAGGAGACACCTTAACCTCAGTCCTGAAAGATCTGGATCCAAACCCCCGCGGTGTTCAGACACAGAAAACAGGTTTTGATCCACGAACGAGGCCCTACACTCTGTTAGCTGCTAGCTTAGCAGGCAGACAGGGGGGGGGGGGGGGGGGGGCTTATCTCTTTAAGCCGTTCTGTCTCTCCTGTAGCCTCCCTCCGCCTTACATTCCCCAAATACACTGTGTACTGTACGATGCTCTGCTCTGTCCCTAGCACAACCCTGGCTTTGAATAAAAAAATAAGGAGGCGATGAAGCAAGTGAGTACAAAACTGTGCCTGTCACATCACACTCTGCCTGTTGCATCACTTCCCTTTGATTATAGTTCTAAGGAAAGGAGAACACGAGCGGGTGATGTTTTCTTTCTTGCTTTTTTTTTTCCTTTCTTCTTAACTGTATCGGCACATTAGCAGCTGAGTTTGAGGTATTAGTTTTTGCATGTCAAAATGGAGATCAAAACCCAAATATGCGTTGCTAAAATTTCCGTTGCGATTTTCAAGTAACATCAAAATATTCGTGTGAAGTTGGAAATCATAAAAAGAGAGAGGTTCAAACATTTTGATATGGGAGGGAAAAGAATCCATTTCATTCTGCAGTGGGCCCTCTCTGTTCTTCAAAGTTAATTCAATATTGAGCTTTGGTTGACTACTAAGGGTCTCGTATACTGCGCTCTTTCAAATTGGAAATAAGTGCACTCTTCTTTAGCAACACCTTTTCAATTCACATTTGCTCTGGAGCCTCTTGTAATCGACAGAGAACTTAAATCACACCTCAGAAATAAATAGCCAATCATATGCTGTTACAACAGCACTTGCACTGCTACAAAACAAGTCAATCAAAAGTCAAATTAAGTGTCTTGTTTTGGGGACAGTTCTTAAAAAATTAAATAAAATACATTGTTTAGAAAAAAATAAAAAGGCCAATTGAAGAGAAGAGTACCATATCACACTTCAAACGTTCCTATATATGTTGTTGTTTTTTTTAGAACTAATACAAATATTTCAAAAATCAAACGCATAAATAAATTTATGTTACACATCTTTTTTCCTTGCTGGACATATTTGGATATAATTCCAGTTTTTTTTCTATCTTCAAAATATAGATATATATTAACTTAAAAAAATGAAAAAAGGTTCAGTGAAATTAGAGCGAAAAGGAACCAGCAACAGAAAAGTGCATTTATTTGTACAATGATTTGCGACTCCTGCACTACCTGCCCTCTGCTCCCTGTTGCCTCTCCCTCTCTGTCCCCCGCTCAGTTCCAGCGGAAGGAGATGTGGCGGGGGCGGTCCCCCCCCTCCTTCACCAGGGGTTTGTGAAACTCCCGTCCGGCGCGGGAGTGGATGGCCGCCCAGCAGTACTCGCAGTAGTACTGCAGACAGGTGACGTTGGCGCAGAAGAACGGCGCAAACTTCCCGCCGCAGCGAGTTCCCTGGCACTCATCGCACAGCTGGTCGTCCAGCACGTATGGCTTCACTTCCACCTGGGGGGGGGGAATCAGTGGACATTAGCCGTGTTGTTTCCTTTACAAACGTGTGTCTGCATGCTGCTTTATCAATCCTGGTTCTACCATATGTTGCTCAAACTAGCAGGAAATGAAACAGATGGCACCTGGAAGGTAGAACGTTTATCTGAAAGCGTATCTTTTTTTATACTATGTACAAAATATACTAAAGAGATCCTATTAACTCAGTTTTGTCGGGTAATATTTATTTAGTATTATGTTTTTGTTTGACTGGCATTGTCATCTCGTCATACTGTCGTGTCCTTCTCTGCATGTGTTGCCTGTACTGCAGAAAATAAAGAATTAGATTTAAAAATATATATTTGTATTACTGCACATATTTTTAGTCCAATTTCATTTCTACGATTTCAAATCATATTCAATGCTAATATTGGTATATTTTACTGTATTTTTTTAATATTATTAGTGTTCTTAAAATTGTATTCTATCCGTGTTTTTAATTCTCGTTTTATTTGTATGTATTTTTATGCACGCACCATAACACCAAGTCAAATTGCTCGTATGTGTTAACCTACTTGGTACCTGATTCCGATCCAACCTTTTACAGTATATGTTCTTAAGGAACAGCCGCTCCAGCCCATGTATTGACCTTCTTTAAATATCAGCTTTCATCACGAGGGGCGGAGTCAGCAGGATTAAGGCTTGTTTTATTTATCACAGGGAGTAAGAGAACAAGAGGGAACAGCCACAGTGAGCTCTCAGATCAAACATTGCATGCGACAGGCTCAACATGTTGCTATTTGTGAATTCTCCCTTTCCCTTTGCACACTGTTCACTATTCATTTGCTTTCCCCACCAGTCAGGGATGAGAGATTGTGCTATTAGCAAGTGAATGTCAATAAGAAGGTCTACAGAATGTGAACAGTAATCATGCAAATGAGAAAGCAGCGTACTATTATTCCTGTAGTTCATATCACCATGTAACCTCTTCACTAAATATTTCTGTTGGATTTCAGCTCATGTTCTCTTTCACTCCCCTCTATTGTGTAAATGTGAATAATATGAAGCAACTACAGAGCTCTGTAATATCTACGGCTGTAATTCATTGGCTGCTGACAACAGTGTGTAAATCACTGATGGCCTTACTGCCAAAGTGTAAATGCATCACACAACTGTGCACTGTTTAAATTCATGTATGAATGCAGTTTTATCATGGAATCATTTGCCATGACACGCAATGCTCTCTTTAACTCTACCTGTTACTGTTTGAATTTAAACGGTACACTGTTCCTGTTATTTCACTTGTACTCTGTAACGCATTGCTATGAACTAGTATGTATGCTAATCATCTGCAGTATAGAAATATAGGTTAAATAAGGAGTTACCTTTATTATCATGGATTTCATCTGAATCTAATAACGGCCTTTTGATGCTGTTCTGTGCGCTCACTCCATGGCAGCTGTTTTGGTCAAATTCTATTTGATTTTGTCAAAAGAAACTGCCCCCCCATAGCTTGGCTTCAGAACATATTGCTACTTGCCCTGATCTTCTAAAATGAACAATTCTGCCAGATGTGCTTCTCTACACTTTCTGCACTGTAATCCAATATAGCAAACTCATTCTGCATTTGTTACTTCTCAACAGACAGTTTGACAGAAAGAGAACAGGAAGTGAGTTGTGGGGAGACGAATGAAGAAAGAAGGGGAGCGGCGAGGGAGGACTTAAAAAACACTGAGCTCTCTTTTCTCTCCACTCACCCGTTTATCGATTTCTCCATGCTGCAGCTGCACAAAGCGAGCACTGATAGCAGCAATGTAGCTCTGCTGATTAGAGAAGGCGACCCGCCCTGCTCCCTTGGGGTACTTCAGCTCAGGGTCTGTGTCGATGCCAGCGTAGCACACCCCTCCATACAGGCGGTCCATGATCATGGCCAGCTCCACTGCAGGGGGGGAAGACACATTGAAGAAGCTGAACAAAATATTTACAGAACTAAAAACATGAACACAATGTTAACATTCTGGCTAAAATCCAGCGACTATTCCACACACACACACACACACACACACACACACACACACACACACACACACACACACACACAACAACACACACACACCCACACACACACCACACACACACACACACACACACACACACACACACAATCACACACACACACACACACACACACACACAACACACACACACACACACACACACACACACAGCACAACACACACACACACACACACACACACACACACACACACACACACCACACACACACACACACACACACACACACACACACACACACACACACACAGGCTCAATACATGAGCCCATGTTCCAACACAAACACGTTGAAGAGGGTTGTTTATCTGAGGGCTTAAAGCCGTCCACACAGATGGATTAAAGATCACAAGCGTTTGATGGAGCAAATATGAGCGTAGCTGCTAAAATGGCTACTATAAATCCCAACACTTTAATTTGCAGTCTTTATTGGGCTTTTCTAAAAAGCTGCAAACTGGCAGAGATAACCTTGTGAATTAACAAGGCAGATTAACTTGTTAAAACAGCAAAAAGGCAAATAGCTTTTCTTTTAATATGTCAAGTTAATACGTGTGAATGTGGACCCATGTTACACAAGGTTATTAGATATGTGATGCGCCACAGGGCTATGTGACCTCAACTAGAGTCTAAAACAGTGTTACCAGCAGTGCAGAAAACATGAGCACTCAGCGCACACAACATTGTTATCCGGATAAAAGGGAATTTTATATTCTGCACAGCACAGCGTGCCACTGAGGGAACTTCCTGACGCTCCAGTGTAGGTCAAAGCCAGTCTCAGCGGCACAGTGCCTCTTTTAGCTCTACCCTCTAGCAGGTCGTATGTTTATTATGAACACAAGCTGATCACATTGCAAGGTTTCACAGAAAGGAGAATTGTGTTTAGAGCTGACCTTCAAACATTAGGAGGAAATAAAGAAGGGGAAGTCAAGGGTGGCTTCTTATTTGTGTAAAACAGTGTAAATGTACACAGCAAAAGGTACAGATTGATGAATGTATTAAAGCATTTTGATAAAGAAACAGGGGAATGAGACAATACCAAACACATGGGATTCAACCTGTGTGTATACAACACACTTCAAAAGGTAAGTGTTGTCATCACAAAGACTCATATGTTGTGGTTTCACATGGTTGGAAAAAGAGTCAAATAAGAACGAAGAGTACCTGCACGGAGCGGACGAGGGACCCCTCCCACAAAGATGGTTTTCCTCGGGTCCAGAGGCTGAGATCCGTCCATCACAAAGTCGCTGTCATTCAGGTTCCACGGGCGGATTTGGACCTGAACACACACGACATGAGGTTTCAAAGTCAAGTAGAAGTCATACGTTTCCTTGAGTTCAGCGGAAACTAATGATGTGAGCAAATGGGTGTTTGTGTGTGTGTGTGTGTGTGTGTGTGTGTGTGTGTGTGTGTGTGTGTGTGTGTGTGTGTGTGTGTGTGTGTGTTCCCACTGACCGGCTTGTCTTTGATGGTGGGGCTGGACACACAGAGGTAAAGCTTGCCGTCCTCTTCAATGCAGGCATCGATCAAAGCCTGCACGGAGCTCTCATCCTGGAACAGCAGGAAGGCGTAGCCTGCACGTAACACAGCAGAGTTATTCATGCTGCTGGGGACACCACGTATTGACAAAGACTCATGTTGGATTGAAGCGCAATGATAACTGTGGCTGAACACAGCTTTCTGCATGCACAGCGGGAAGGAATAAGCTTTAACAAATAGACAGAGAAACGGACAAACAGTCCACACATGGCTACTAAGTGCTTCAGACAATACTGTAAAGGAAAAACAGACCGCACACATATGAATAGTGGTAGTACACAAGGCTGACATTTCTCTACTGAATACAGAAATAGATTCAATTCAAATACATGTCTGACCCACAAGGAAACACAAAGACACTGAAGCAGTCACAGGAATCTATCTTTTTGAAGATAAATTGGAATCAGAAAATACTACTGAAATGTACCCAGCTAGAAAACTCCAAACCATTGTGAGACAAATCAGCACATAAATAATTCAACAAACCTTTGGGTGGAAAATAGGATTTGCTCTCTGCTTTGTGAGGCCAGTCCACAAACAGGTGTCCAAAACGCCGGAAACTAGCAGTTATCTCGTCTGAAATCAGGCAGAATGAATTATTGTTGAGAATTTGGAGATAAAACAAAAAAACAATTACACTGATAATTTACAGAGAAAGTCCTGCCTGACTCTCTAAAAAAAAATACATATAAATTGCAGGAACATTTGAACAAATTCCATTGTTTTTATCTAAAGAGATGTGTAATGTAATATCTCATGGTCTAATTTACAGTCAGAGTGATAATGTTTGTCAAGTCAATCAAATTAAAAGCCTAAGATTTGACTTTGAGGTATCCTAAAGTCATCTTAAAGGTGTCATTTTATGATGTTGGATTATGTTTTAAATTGCCCTCAAGTCTCCATCTTGTAAGTGTCAATCTTTTTAACTGTAAAATGATAAATCTTTACCTTCATCTATGTCAGGGGGCAGTCCTCCCACAAAGACCTTGCGTGAGTAGCGTTCAACACGCTCTCCGTTCTGGTGAGGGAAACAGTGAGGGGAGCCCAGGCCTGCAAGACCCTGATCACCACGGTCATCGTCAGGGAAACCATCCTCCATGGGGAAGAGAGAGGAGTGGCCTGAGAGAGAGAGAGAGAGAGGAAGAGGAGGAAGGGTTTATTTCCTGAGGAGTGATCCTGGGAGTTGTTGTCATAACAACACTACCCCTAAGGCAGTAAGATAACCGTACATACAACTTTTCATTCTGTTGACTGCATTCATATTCTGGGCGGAAAGAGCAATCTGATCCGACATCACTTACAACATAATAAAGGCAAGTGAGTAGCATGCAAGGCAAATCACTAGGGATTCATTCAAACATATTTATATTACATTGTGTAACCTTTCATTAAATGTCGCAGTTAGTTTCTAAACCCCTTAAACAACAGCAACTATATACAAAAACCTCAGAATACTATAAAGAAGAAGAGTAAAGGGTAACATATAACACAATGGTTAGTGGGGTGGAATGTAACAAAATAAAAACATAGCTAAAAATAAAAGTGGTTTGAGTTCATTCCAGTCATGTCAAATAAAGAAAAAACATTTTGAAAGTACAGATAAAACAAGGCAAATAAAATGAATGCAGAATGAGACGTGGTTTTTTTCTTGCATGGCCAGCAAATGTATTTTCCATGAAGTACTGAACATGCACGCAGCTTTTCTCTAACAAACGCAGCATTTCTCAGGTTAATACTTTCACAGTGGACTGTGCATGTTTGTGTTGTAGCGACTAAGCTCTCTCCGGCCTATTCCTGCTCCTATACGACCTGCCCTGAGCTGCTTTATAGAGATTTATGCAACAGAGTTAGCCTCAGCTTACAGTTTGTGCTGGTGTCAATGGGGAGTGTGTGTGGTGTGTGTGTGTGTGTGTGTGTGTGTGTGTGTGTGTGTGTGTGTGTGTGTGTGTGTGTGTGTGTGTGTGTGTGTGTGTGTGTGTGTGCGTCCGGCCATGTGCCTGGCCATGTGTCTATTCTTCTGTTCTCCGAGTGTGTAAATCAAATGCTACACTTTGTGTGTCTCCTCTCCTGATAACTTTTAGCCCAAATGTGACAATAACATCTATTGTCTGAGCTAACAATCTTGCAAAATGTGTGTGTAAATGAGAAAAAAGCAAGCAGAGTCAAACAGAGTCAAGCATAATGAGATAAACGCACAATGAAAGATGCATAAGATCACTTCTCAAGCTGTTGGCAAGATGCGACACTTAAGACAATCATGCAGGCAAACATGTCACTTCACTGTACAAAGCGCCGAGTCATTCCAAAACCATTTACGAGCATTCATTAAACACCCAACGCACTGTAACGTAAAACAAAATCATAACAGAACGGCTTCACATCACAAAGTCAGACAGTATATTGAGACCAAGAGAGCTGGATTTGAGCCATGATTTTATTTTACCTCGTCTCCTGCTATAATTCCTGGCTGCATGTGGAATAAGGACAAATCCAAGAAGAGGGTATTTGTAAAAGGTGCATTATACACTATACCAATAAATGTGCCAGGTGCTTCATGACAATGGAGTCATTTTCCATTGTCTGTCCCTCTGCCCTGTCTTCTATCAGTCAGCTGTGAATTATAATTAGCCACCATACCACTGTATCAACAATGCAGCGTGGAAAGTATAAGTCCGTAGTTCAGAGATGTACAATGACTTGTAAGTTGATTCAACAATCATTTTCTCGTACAGTTCTTTTGTTCCCAACAAATGAATGGATATGTTTTTCCTGTTTCAGGGTGGAGACTTGTCACCTGGCTGTTTGTACAGTACTTAAACAAATAAAGATGGAAAGGATTTATTATCATACGAGATAAAAGACACAGTTTAAAGAAGGTAAAGACAGATCGGTAAACTAGTCAGAACAAATATAGAAATCGTATACTGTAGCAATACCAACACCAACATTCTCTTCTGACCTGTAAAAATCCAACTGATTTAATCAACTAAAAAAAGGGTTCACAACTTTGTTCTAAATAAACTTCACTTAGAAACACACAAAAAACGAAATGTCCTACAAATGTGTCAATAACCCAACATTTACTAAATCATGACCAAGTCTCTCAAATATATGAAACAAATAGAAAACCAATAAAATAATTCACATTTTAATTCCAATTTATATGCTCCTATTTTTTTTTTTAAAGCAGAGTTACGTCATTCATTTTGAGACTCCGACAGGCACGATAATCTAAGTGTTCCCAGTGGCAGCGGCTTTGTTAGAGTCCGTTGCTGAGGGACCACTATTGTGACTCACTTCCACAAAAACGAATGAAACTGCCAGAAGTAATAACAGAACAGTTTCCATCAAGTGTTTCTGGATACGGCCAGCCATTACACATATGTAATTTACCTTCTTAGAGTTACACTTAAGACTGTAAGCAAAAAGCCTCCTCGACATCGCACGATAACCATTTCAAACTCCATTGTTTACTAAATAAAAGCAATAGCAGCCCTGCGGCCAAGGAAGGTAACAGGGGACCAAGCAGAGAGGGCGGCGGCCATTTTAACATACATGTATTTTAATATGCCTCTGTCGTGACGTGAGGTTTAACACTTAGATCATTCTGTTGAGATGAATACAGTACAGTCTCACAGGCAACCATTTCTGTTTAATCTATGCTGCAGAAATCCAATTCTTGTTCTGCCTTGTCTAAAACCCATCTAACAAGTCCATCAGTCCACAATGCGGCTCGGTGTCATATGTGTACTAAAGAACATGCTCTATTTTCCCGTTCAATTTAATACGCGCCTTGGGACATAATATTTCTTTGCACAGAGCTGAAGTGAAACAAATTAAAATTGTGGACACTGGAGAGATTGAAGCAGCGACCCTTCTAAAACTCTAAGGACACAGAGAGGATGAAGAAGTGGCCAGAATGCACAAGCAATAATCCCCCGCTCCCTCGGTGGACTTTCCAACCCAGATGGACATTAGCTCTGGGGGGGGTGAGGTCAATGAGAGATAGAAAGAGAGAGGACAGAGAAAACAGGAAAGCAGATTGAAACAGAGCGGAGCGTGCTATAAAAAGATGTGTGTGTGTGTGTGTGTGTGTGTGTGTGTGTGTGTGTGTGTGTGTGTGTGTGTGTGAGAGAGAGAAATAGATTGGAAGAGATGGAGGAACAAGCTGATAAAACACTATGTGGGGGTGAGAGAAAATGAGAGCGAGAGATCAAGAGAATGAGGAATGCAATCTGTATACGCTTATGAGACAAAAAAGAGGGAGAAAGAGCGAGAGAGAGAGAGCGCGAGAGAGAGAGAGAGAGAGAGAGAGAGAGAGAGATGGTGTGCAACCTCTGAATCCTGCCTATCCGCTGGCACCATCTGTCTCAGGGCTTCATGACAGCTCCTGACCATGTGATCTCACCATGTGACCCGGCGATCTTGTGAACAAACCACCGACCTCTCGTGTTTTACATCATGGCCCAAGACCAGAAGGCAAAGGCTTCAACAACACAACTACACAATGATAAAGGGAATGAGAGGTGGCTAAATATTTAACTGCTGTTGTGGAAACTGTGCCATGTCAAGAGGATCGGCTGGACGGGTTATTCATATACTGTTAGAAAAGCAATGTTGTTCTTCTCTAGGGAAAGACCGTCTGGTGAAACTGGGGCAGCTAGAACATAACTATTGATCTGCAAGGGAGGTTTTCAGAAATATAATGATGGGAAATATTTTGGAGTAAAATATGTATAGATAAACTACAAACCGCCTACAGGTACACCATAGAGTCCTACTGCTATCAGAGGCCTACCACAGAGCATAACATAACATCCCTAATTTGCGTCCAGCAAGGGGATTTTGCAGTATGTGAAACACCGAAAACCAAATCCGCAAACATGAAACCCTGCAGTCAGAAAGAGGGATGCTATTTAAAAAAGGACAAGAATGTCTTGGTCCTCACGTTAAGATAACACGCATATAGGGGGTCCCTTACTGTTGCTATTCTATCTCTAAATGACCCACCTATTAATGTCCTTTCATTCCCCCTTTATCGTACTACATATTTAGGGATTAGGAGTAAGGGGAAAGGAACATGTTCCAACCAAAGGTCATAAGTAGGTGAAAGGTCGTCAACACAAATGATTGTTGTTTACCTTAAAGATGGGGTAGGTACGTTTGAGAAACCGGCTCGAGATACACTTTTTGTTATATTCCATGGAATGCTCTTAACATCCCGATAGCCGTAGCACTGTAAAAAGCACAACCAATCATTTTAGCCGGCCCGGCTAAAATAACTGGCCGTCCATCTGTGCACAAACTTATCTCGTGCCCTCATTGGTCATGTGCGCGTTTGTGTGTGTTGGAGGAGGGGCTCTGTAAGGAAGTGGCAGATTTTTTCCGGTTGTGTATTTTCAAATTCTAGCGCACTCGAACCGGTTTCTCAAATGTTCCTACCCCACCTTTAACCAACAGGAAGCAAGTTAGTGCATTTTATTTTATTCTAAAAATGCAGAGGGGCAGGACTTTTTGACTGCCTTGAATCGTTGGTAAGCAAGGGCACACAAGGCTTTTAAAATCTTAAAAGCTTTATTTCACATCGGCCGGACACACAGTTTCAAGACAAAGTGAAAGACACAAAAGTCAGTGAAGTTGGCTGAGGCAAACTTTATAAATAGCGCTTAAATGGGTAAAAGCTGACATGATTTACCTGAGAGAGCATATTTTAGTACAGGAAACATAATGATCTTGTATGTTTTTTAACCTTTCATATAGACTGCCAGGTAGGTTCATATTTTTAGATTAATGAGCAATTGAATATGGAATCAAGGACAACACCCTTAATGACAGCAAATGCTTTATAGGATTTATGATTTTTTTTTATCCCCGACTTGTAATGTTAGTGTGCTCTTGAAAAGCTGGTTAGCTTGCCATACGTACCATTGAGGGGCAAGGGGTTGTCTCCTCCTGGATGGGGGAAACCAAGACGACCTAAGCAAGGAGACACAGAACAGAAATATGTAACATGTTGGTACCTACATATTACTTCATTTGAAACACAAAGGTATGTTTTGAATCATGATTGATTGTATACTTTACAGTTAATATCCCGTTATTATATGCAGTCCCATTTTGAGATTTAACAGAACATGTCTATAAAAAAAAAGAGTAAAAACAAAATGGCAGCCATAAAATGATAAACCCACAATCTGAGGAATCCATTATCAGTTAAGCAATCAATAATTTGGCAAAAGGCTGAGACCGTGATAAAGCTCTTGATTAATGCTGCATGCTCAGAGAGGAATATATTTAAATAATTCTGCACAAAACGTAGGACAAATCCCAAATACACGGGCACGGATTTGGTTTGAAAAAGATGAATTGCACAGCTGAACATATTGAACAACTGGGTGTTTTTGACAGTTCATTAGGAGTGCCCAGACAGAATATGCAGTGGCGATAATAACAGATATGAGAACACTGAGTGTTGCTTTCACATCAATCTCATTAGAGACTACATCTGTGGGACACCAACCATCTCTCTGCGTCTCATCGACCTCCATTTCCCTGTGTGTGTGTGCCTCTCCCTCTCTCTCTCTGAGCCTCATATCATACATTTTACATTGAGCCACTTGCCAGGCCCGCACACACACGCCCGCACCCACACAAATACATGTTATGATGCCAAACAAGCTTCAAAGTTATGCAAGGCCTGCTTGCTGCAGAGGGATAATGAGATGAAAGAGCTGAAATAGTACAACCATTGTGGTATGGCTACGGACCGCCCTGTGATTGGTGCATTCCGACGCCTCGGTCACATGGAAATCTGATGGCCCCTCCCCCACACCTCGCCTATTCATCCACACAGTACTTGGTAGATGTGGTGCATAAAACAACTCAAACACAGAAACCAGGACGTGTCACCCCATGGTTGTGGAAGCTACTATACTGTACGATAGTATACTAAATATTCCAATACATTCTATCACAATCTGGGCATTAACAGGTTAGTTTACGTATCATTAAATAATTACATTTCAGTCAAAATAAATGTCAAGGTGCCAACCAAAACCAGTTTGTAGACGTGCTATTTCTCTACACTGCACGGCAAGATTCAACAGTTTATCTCCCTCTGTAATTTAGCTCAGTGATTTAGTGTTTGAGCTGATATGTGCGCCTCCCAAAATCAAAATCCATCCCAGCTCAAGCCTTCATATTGGATTTAAAGAGCCTTTAATAGCCTCTGAGGAGCAAACGTGCAGGCACGTAAGCACACCACATCCCTGTGTGTCTGCAGGGTGCTGCGTGCCCGCTCTGTGAACCTCATTTGCAAGCTGCTGGCTGAGTACATGTTCAGTGCAGTAACAGTTTTAGCACATGCATGCACAAGCACATACACAACAGGGCGGTGTGTGAGTGTGTGTCTGTTTAGTGGCTGAACAGAGGGATCCTTTCTGTCAGTCAGGACAATGCTGGAAGCGATTCAAAGCCACTTCTAGAGACATTTTATCTCGCCTCTTCGCTTGCTTCATAGCGCTCTAAGTTCAATATGTTCTGCTGGAATGAGAAATGTGTGTGCATCTAAACGTGCTTGTGTATGCACTCTGTCTGGGTTTATCAGTCGTGTGGGCATATTTGTGTGGGCATGCCTGTACGTATGTGACAGAGAGCAGGAGAGAGCAAGGGACAGTTGGCCTGGAGAAGAGTCAGCACTCAAAGAAAATGTGCTGTAATTATGTTTCTCTTTTTACTTTGCTGTGAGGGAAAAGAGGAGTCACATAAGTTACCCTTGGTACAGCAGTGTATACGCCTGGACTATAATAATGGAAACAGGGAATAAATAAACACTAAAAAAATAAGTAGACCAAGGGCAAAGAAAGAAAAAGAGGAGTGTGGGATGAGATGATGCGTGATGTGAAAGCAGTAAAGAATGGGGCACTGTATAAGAACCAATCTGAAGGGGATGACTGAAGAAAGATCAGGTCAAAGGACATAAGAAGAATAAATAACCTAGAATGAATTGAACAAAATGGACAAATAATTCACATTCAAGGTTCAAGTTTAAAAATACTTCACAATGTCCAAACCCTACATAGTTTGATTCTTTCTGAAGCAGAAGCGTGTGGGTTTTCAATTTCCAAGGAAACTTGTTTTGTATTCAGATGCCCGGCTCTTGGATCTAACAGTCGCAGGAATCTGTGCCAGCATGGCTGGAGCTAAGACCCCAGCACTAGCTGATGAGCTAACCTTCTAGTCTTCCTCTGTTAATATAGAGGGGAGATTTACTAAAGTTTGACAGCAGAACATTACATCACAGCTGGAAGTGGCTGAGCACAGTGGGTGTGAGGCTGAAATAAATACGAGGGGAAATGAAGAGTCTGGAGCTCAGAGTTTTCACTCATCTTGTCATTCTGGTGGTGGAACTGTTTGAACCTTTCTTTGTAGGTCACATGCACAGTAACGGTATTTAAATGTTAAAAAATAAGACATAAATTCTGGAAAAGGAAAACTTCTTGATACTGGCTTTTTGAGATATTTTGTCTACCAGTTTCTGGGGCCCATTAGACCACAACCAAAACAAAAGATGGTTATCTTGTTTTGAAGTAACTACTCAAATATGTGTTAAACTCTACACCCGAGTCTTTAAAATCCAAAGGTGTTTCCTTTCAAAGGACGATCATTACCAGAACTACTCCTTTAGCTCCCCCCTTCCCACCAACAGCTAACATTGGCCACAGTATTTCTTGTTAGCTAAGCACTCTCCATCTATAGTAACTGTCAGTTACGCCCTCAAACAATAAACAACACTGGCTACCTGCTGCATTCAATAACCTATTTTCTGGGTTACCATTGACCTAACAACATTCAGCCAATAACAGATGTTGCTTAGTGTCTATCAATCAATAATCCAGGTCAGTTACGGAGCGTCCACACAGCAGCGTGCGTTGACGCTTGGCGGTGGGCGTATCTGAAGCTTGGGGATTTTTTGCGAGCAACACGACCAACAACCAATCACATGAATCTCCCGCCCCCGACATACAAAGCAATAGCAATGTTAAAACGAAGTAAACTGGATATAAAATCCCCAAACAGGCGAAAACCTACCAGTTTCACCCACTGTCTCTGCCACCTCCCTCCATGCCTCGCTCCTCCGGTTTGTATCCCGGTAGATGAACAGAGACTGATCATACAGCACCGGGTGATTCACTACCGCTATAATGAATTTTCCCTCCATTTTTTGGAATATGAGGAAATTACCTGCGTAGTCTCTCCCAGCATACACGCGGTTTGATTGGCTAGCGCTTGTACTGGCAGATTTGAATAAACGGGATTTCATTGGCTGACGCCTCCGTCGAGGCGTCAAAAGTTGAACATTGCTCAACTTTTGAAGCCAGCAACGCTCCACGTCGCTTCCCAAAATGCATTTCGGCTAAAAGTGACGTCACCCCATTCAAAGTGAATGGGCAGAAGCGTTGGAAGCTTCAACGCACGCCGCTGTGTGGACGGGCCGTTAGAGTCCAATTTCCAATGCAGGATTATTTTTTCTCATTACAAGTCTCAGCCCGTACTTTGGAATGAATTCTATTTAGAATACCAGTTTAGAGTTTCCGTTAGGTGTATTTCTATCATTTTGTCTAATGAGGGGCTACTGTAAATATCAGCGACAGGAATCAGTATATCCTAGTAAAGTTCAATAGCAAACCAACAAAAACACAAATGAATGACAATTGGAATTTAATTGTATACGTTTTACACTACATTGGTTTAAGCTAGATGTACCAAATAAACTGGCAACTGAGTGTATGCACGTGCACAACCGTAATCATCAAATCCATAAAAGAGCAGGAATACAGGGATTTATACTGACCCAGAAATGCAATGGACTAACCTCTTTAAAAGGTGCAAAGGTACCGCATCAGCCTACCCCAGTTTCTAAGCACTGTTTCCTAACTAGAGAAAGGTTTAATGTTCTCGCTTTTTACTGGCATTATCTGGATAATATGTGTGTTCTGATTGAACACTGAAAGGTTAACATCCTCACACTTCAGGTAACAGATGTGTGTCTTTCAAACATGTGCCAGACTTTTTGGACAGAAACAACTGTGCGCCATTGTTTTTATAAGATTGTTGTTATCCTTCGTAACAGGAGGCTGTGCAGCTGTGATCGTTAGAAACTGATGATGGCCAACAACTTTAGTTCAGATCAGTGGGAGTCCTTCCATCTATTTCACAAATCCCCTCTTAAATACAAAGCCTAAGCTTCCACCCGCCTTGTATTCTCGCTGTGCCTCCTTCTCAAAATGAAAGAGAAAAGGAGGTCAGACTCATTGCATTGAATTTTCCAAGTGAGAAAACGTTTAGCTGTTTTGAATTCAGAGTGGGAAGGAGAGAAAAGGAAGAGGAACACAAAGGTGTGACTTGACCTCTCGTGTTATTGTTGATCACAACAAGAAGAAGACATCTGATCTGTGGAGGAAGTGAAACGTTGCTGCTAAGAATTAGGTAAATCGTGAGTAAGTGTGTATTAGGTATGATCAGCTCTACCTTGAAGTGTAACACGTAAAAATCAAGCCACACTTGTCCACACCTATAGAAGAACAGCTAAAGTGGGAGAATACAGCAGGTACAAACTCATGTTTTTAGTTTAGTTTGTGTATGGATTAGGGCTGTCAAGTTAACGCGTTAATAACGCCATCGGGAGGACCGGGAGGGTGTGTGTATGTGTGGCACGAGCGAGCGAGAGAGAGACCTTACGTGTATTGTTGTTGTTAGCATCTGGTGCTAGCTAGCTGCGCTAACGGATATAAGGAGCTTTTTAAATGAAAACAGAGGAGCGACATTTCGCCGACAACTGCGCCGAGCACTTGACTTTATGCAGGAAGCCAGACAGTGGGACATTGTACGAGAAGTCAGCACACTCAGCACGGATAGTGCGCAACATGATTGCAGCGTCCAGGCAGCTCCGACACACACACACACACACACACACACACACACACACACACACACACACACACACACACACACACACACACACACACACACACACACACACACACACACACACACACACACACAGCACACACACACACACACACACACACACACACACACACACACACACACACACACACACACACACACACACACACACACACACACACACACACACACACACACACACACACACACACACACACACACACACACACACACACATTCACACACACACACACACACACACACACACACACACACACACACACACACACACACACACACACACACACACACACACACACACACACACACACACACACACACACACCACACACACACACACACACACACACACACACACACACACACACACACACACACACACACACACACGAGAGGTTCCAGGTTGAATTGAGGCGAATATTTGTTCAGAAGTTGTTGTGTTTAATATTCATGAGGATATTTGTCATTGTTCAAATGATAATAAACATTAGCATAAAGCATATTTGTCCACTCATATGTTGATAAGAGTATTACAAACTTGAAAAATATTCCTCTAAGGTACATTTAGAACAGATAAAAAATGTGCGATTAATCGCGATTAAATATTTTAATCGACTGACAGCCCTAGTATGGATTGTCAGTGACTGAAATCCAAACATTGATGTATCGAGTCATTATTTTGTCTTCTAGGCACTACGTATGTGCCGTCAACAGAGCGTACAATCGTTACTGGATGTTATATAAGTGTTTAATGTTTGTGAATTCAATCCTCACCTTTCAGGGTGTCCTGCTCGGCCCTCATGATGTCGATCAGGGAGCTCTCCAGCGTGTTCATGTTGAAGCTGTCAAATGACCTGGTGCGCTCCTACAGAAAGAAGAGAAAGACCAGAAACATTCATTACTTTTTCTTTCAATGCTTCAAAGACAAATAAATACATTGTGTGGCAGCCAACAGGCTTTCAAGTTGAAGATTCAGCTGGTCCATGGAAGCAACTTGAGCAATTAGATTTATCTGAATCTTTGTATGTAACGTTGCCTCAGTTCATTCAAGCTGATCAGAGAGAAAAAAAACAAGAGAGCATACAAATACTTTTAGAAAAATGAAAAAGACATAATAGCACTTCACATTTCTTTCTACCGTCCTACGAATACATGCAATACCAAGATACTGCAAAGAGTCCACTTCATGATGGACGCTGTTTTTATGCTTCTCACAGCTTTTGGCATTGGCCTATATAGCAGGAGTGACAAACAACACAAATTAGGAGTGAGCCCTAGTTTCACATGAGTGGAATCTCAAGTGATTCACTAATATATTCTGCAGACTTATGTAAAAACTGAGATAAAAGTTTTCTTTTTTGCCGGCTTAACGGATTTGTATTCTGCTCTAAAGATGCCGCCGTCCTGTTTTGGTTTTCTAGCCCCCAAACCGAAGCTAAAAAGACAAAAATAGACGACTATGGGACAGGTATTTATGTTGGCATAATTAAATGTATCGATGTCTTATTGTTTACTTAGATTATATTGTATTTAAAAAAACAACTAAACACTATTTTCGTCCTCATGTGGTTATTATGTGTTCTTAACCGACAACCTAACTGAGCTATAAATGCATCGTAATGGAAGTCAACAGTAAAACCAGCAGTAGAACGAAACAGGAGGCGAGCCAATTCTTGGGCAACAGCTTTGTCACCTACAAACAGGGGAACCTTGGCATACCCTCCATACTGCAAATGTTTATGTGTACGCACACATATGTGTAAGAGAAATCACAACCATGAATGTGTACACAAAATATATGCAGGCACCAAAAACACGGGCCCATAAACAAACACATTCTCCAAGTGCCATGCTGATAAGGCTTGTGTTTTGACTCCACCTCAGCCAAACAGAAAGAGCGCAGCTTTTGACAACAACATGATAACAACCTGATGAACTATTGTGGCTTCCTTGTATCCAAAACAACCACAGTGAAGACTATAGTATTGTATGTATATTCTCCTTGTTTATGTTTACAGTCAGCGCTAAATGTCCCCACAACATCACATGAGTGATTGCCCATTCCTTCCTCCGTCTATCCCCGATGTTCCCGTTATTCTCCGATGCCACCCTAAAAGCAGAAATACCTTTAAAGTTGTGTATTCCTCATTTATGCGTCAGAGCGCTCACACCGCACAGAGACTCTTCTGGATAATGTTGTTTTTCAATAAACCCTACATGGTGACTATTGTATTTCCTAACTGTCTGGTCACGACTGAAATACAGTTTTTTTCCTTTCTGCATCATACCCATTGTATCAAACATGTAGTGATAAAATACTTTTAAACTATTTGTCTTGCAAAATAATAACCTTTTATGTAAACATATAGTGATGTAAATGCAGTATTTGTAAAACACACACATGAGCAATTTAACACTGGAGTACAAATATTTAACACAGGGAGAAGGAGAGGCTGCTGGACTTTAAAGAGCCATGCTTTTAAAATAGCCGTGCCAATACATGAGAACATTTTTTGCTATTAGATTTAAGTCTGGAAAACATCCGCTTAGATTAGATTGAGTCTGGCAAGATGCTGACAGACCAAATAATGAAACGTGAGTTTTTTGATGATGCCATGTCTTGAAACTTGTGAACAGTGAGGTGTTATAGATCATAAAGCTTCACGCTGCAGCAACACGGCCAGTCTTTTTTTTCCAGTCTTTTTTAACAAAGAAACTTAATTTGGTGTATAGTTTAAGAGAAATGTAACATTCCCAAAACAGCAATTATGTGCTCCAGTTTGAAAATAATAAGCAGGTGTAGAAGCAGTTCACATCAAGGTGTGATTGAGGTCTATTGTGCACCCTACTTGAGATCTCATGTATGAAGAAAACAAAAGGCGACAACTGTGGGCTGATGTTAACGATAACACAATACGAATAAAGTGTGACATTACTCGAACGCCTGTAAATTAAAATCTTCAAGTAGAAGTCAAAAGAAAATCTACAATCCTGACAAAATAATAGTACATAATGAAATGTGCAGCTTTCTGTCAAAGTCAGTCTGAAAACATACTGACACAAACACTGTGTGATCAGCTCTGCCTTCGACCTGACTGATAATGGACAGGCCTTGCACAACAAGAGTTACCCAACATCTGTCAACTTAAAAGTAACCTATCTGAATGTTCAATCCCTCTACATTCACCACTTTGTTTTTCCAACAAATACATCAATGCATAACCTCTCGATCACACACTCCGTTATCCAGAAACCAGTTCATACAAACATTAGGCCAACGTCTGTTGAGAAAAGTCTGAGAGCAGAACCACCTTGGGAAGAAAGGCTCACAACAAACCTTGTTGCTCAATGAGCTCCACAGGGGTCAAATGCTAAAGGGTTCAGAACAACAGAACTACGTCATATGACCAAGGGTCGGGGCAGGCAGGCAGCTTATCTTCTCATCTACTGTCTGGTGCCTGCACCCGAAATCCAATAGCTTTACTATCTGATCAACCAAAGACCAATTGTTGAAAGTCTGGCACACACTACTCGCCCATGAAACGGCCAACAATCCACAGCCGTAGCCAACATTTCATCCGGGTTTTGGCCGGTTTTCTCACACTGACTGAGGAACCATGCTAACAGAGAGATGACATGGGTAGAAGTACACACTCTCCCTCTAAACAAATATCAATACAGGGATATAGGCCAGACTAGGTTGACTATTTTCTCATATCCACCTCAGTATCTTATGTGGACTTAGGCGATTGCTTTAGGTCAAATAAACCAAAAACTCAAAGACAGGAGAAGAAGAAACAAGTGAAGGACTGCTTAGTGGGGGGAAGCATAAAACCCACTGGTGAGTACATCTAAAGCAAGCTCTTGAGCACATTACCCAGGACAAACACAGGGCATTAAAGTGCAATATGGCTCTTAGTTATGGTATTTCTGAAGTATACTATTAAAACTGAGCCGGACGCAGGAGCCTTTCCTGGTTTGTTTTTTTACAGCTTCAATCATTTATTCTTATTTGTCATTATACTCTATTGTACCATCTCCTTGGTACAATTACAGATGTATCTTGGCTGATGTAGCACTGCAAGGTAATCCGATGATATTGCTTCAGGAGAAAAGGAATTCATTTTGTGGCTGAGATGGGCTCAGTATGGCGGACATGAGGTCTGGCTTGTGCTCTGCAGTTGCTAAGCATTAGCCTGGAGAGGTGCAGAGGATGATTAATCATCAGATTGGTACATCCTTCTCTCTCTCAACAACTGGCCAGCTGACCAGCAAAGTACTCATCCCTGACAGATTGCAGGGATTGCACAAATACACACACACAGTCACTCGTTACATCCAGAGACACACACACACAAACAGATTAGCTGTGGGCAAGACACACAGGATTTACAGTGCAGCCCACATCAGATCTATCTATAAAAGCTTCTAACCCAAGGCCATAGGTATAAAGATAGAGGACATGGCAGTACATGGTGTGTTATTTGGTGGCTTCAGTCAAATGTAGCCCGGTATACATGGGGAGGCAGAACGGATTTAATAACCATAACCCAATCTAGTTGAAGTTAATGGAATAGAAATGCGAAAAACATCCTCTTTTTTTTTCACAGTGGCCCTGAATAATGATGGATTGATTTGGATTAACCAGCACATCAAAGTTTGACCCTGGATCAACAAATGTGTACTGACCTGATCTAAAAGCACTGGGTTTAAACAAGTAGAGAGTGAATCATCTCATTTGATGTAATCAATTTGAAAAGCAGCAGCGTGGGCTCAGTGGATCAGAGAATGTGCACAAAAACTATAAACCTGTGTGGGCTTTGTGGGAGGAATGAAACGTGACCTGTGGGTTCATTTATTAGTGTCGATATAAAGTCATTACATTTAGACTGCATGAAAAAGTGCATTCCTAACCCTATACTAGGAATGATCTTATAAACAGCTCACCTGAGAGACCTAACAAAATAGTACTGTGAACATTTTGGACAATGCAACTTAGCCAATGCTTCCTGGGCTCTGCAGGATACTAGAGCTGCCTTGAACCATTGTTGATGAATCTGTTAAGTTATTTCAAGCTAAAATGACAAACATTTCATGGTTCCAGCTTTCCAAAATTCCACTATTTGCTGAATATATTCCTCCTTAGATTACTTTAAAAACGAATATCTTTGGTCTTTGGCACATCAACATCTGTTTTGATGTGCTACTTATAATTAAGGGATTCATCGAGAAAAGAATTGTGTCATATCGTGCAATCTGTACCTAGACCAAGCCACAAATAGACCAAGCCTCAACCCCAACAGATCTCACACAGCAATGATAGAGAATCTTGATTGAAAAAAACATCCTGAAAGCTAATAAAATGAAACATCTTAAATCTTTATTTGTTTAAAATGGTTAAATAACAGAGTAAGTCAAATGACCTGCAAAGTAACAGAGCTCTTCATGCATGTTTTAATGTTAACAGGGAGGGCAACCTCGAACATATTTTGATGACATATAGGAAAATAAAAATGATTAAATACAGCATGCTGGGGGTGATTAACTCCAACATTAATCTTCCATGTCACCTGCCTGTTAATGACAAATGGAAGTAGAGGGAGGGTGGAAGAGTGGAGAAAGTCACAGGGTAAAGGACATGAGAAAATATATTTGGGTGCAGTATGATTTTTAGGTTTTGAGAGACGCCCAACTATTTAAAATTCACCTTAGATTCATTCGAGAGAAGGATGATGTTTTTTCCTTATTTTGTATCCATCTTATCTAACCCCGAGACAAAAGGGAGAGAGAGGAAACCCAGAGCAAAGAAGGGAAGGGGGAAATGGCAGATGAAAGAAAGGGGCTGACCGAGAGAGGCAAAGCTAGTGGCGAGTTACGGCAAAAGTAAAAAGAGAAGAAAGGAAGGCAGGAAAGGGAAGCAGGTTGAGCTTTTGATGCTTTCGATTACGCTTCTTCCTGGTCAAAGAATCTCAAAGGCCTGCTACGACATTAAGAAGCCCCAACTGTCAAAAACAACCTATTACTTAGTGTCGGCTGTGTGTGTGTGTGTGTGTGTGTGTGTGTGTGTGTGTGTGTGGTGTGTGTGTGTGTGTGTGTGTGTGTGTGTGTGTGTGTGTGTGTGTGTGTGTGTGTGTGTGTGTGTGTGTGTGTGTGTGTGTGTGTGTGTGTGTGTTAGTGGAAGATGAGTGATCAAGGCAGGGACTTAGACTGAACCGACACCTTTGTTGTGTTTACTGAGCTGGGCTGAATACAATACGACACTTCCTGCATACATTCTGCTTTGTCTTCTTCTTTTGTTAAGACACATGGCAGAAGACATAGGCCAGGCACTAATTTGGGCTTATGCACTCATGGGCATGTGCAGATTCATACACACACACGCTCTCTTATTTCCCGTTTCTGAGCGTCTTTCGAGGCTGTGAGAATAGCACAATGGGGCTGTATGAGCAGCAGAGTTATGTGCTTGCCAGAAAAGCTTAGGCCACTCATTAGTGTAAAAAACATTTCTCTCATTTAACACCAATGGCAATGGCTGAAACCTGGGGCCTCTAGAGCCTAAAGGCTAGGAGCATTTGTTAGTTGACATGCACGCAAGACAATTTGCACGCAAGACAATTTGCACGCAAGACAATTTGCACGCAAGACAATTTGCACGCAAGACAATTTGCACGCACACTTCACGAATAACCGAAGGAAGGCTACCCGAGAAAAAGGAAGCTTCTTGCGTTAAAATAAAGCCTCAACATTATCAGGTACTTCACACGTCATAAATGGGTAAAGAAAATCACTGGATAATATCTGATACTTGCCTAAAGACCCGTCACATTGATTAGACAGCCTTTAAAAGAATAAGAAATGTCAAAAGGAAACAGAACGATCAAATCTGACAACAGGTGTTTCCACTGCAGACACGGGGAGGTAGTTTAATAAAGTACGTTCATACTACAGCACTGTAAAAGGCTGCAGTATGTCTAAGCTACACAAACAGACAGGAGGGAGCTGTAACCAACAGTTACCCAGGCAGCTTACTGAGACAATATCCTGTCCTGGCTTAGATCCAGGCCTCTGACCTTGAAATTCACAGGTGAGGAATTAGTGAGCAAGGAAAGAAAGACAATTTGCGTGGGAGCTTATGTTGACTCCTAGAATCAAAAAGGTTAGTTTTATTGGTGACTCCAAAATAGCCCATAGGTTTAAATGTGAGCTTAAATGGTTGCCTGATAGATACAGGTCCTGGGTGTACACCGCCTCTCGCCCTGTGTCGGCTGAGATTGGCCCACTGCCCCCTCAAGTATAAGCAGGTATAGCGAATGAATGGATAGAAAGGAAAAAAAGCAAGAAAAGAAAAGATTTGCTGGCATTTAAAAATTACAAATCTCTTGCCTAAAGCTAGTTACTAGCTGACCAGTGTATTAGCAGTTAGCAGCAGTGTGCCTGGCCTGGAGCCCATCCCAAATACTAAAGCTGCTCTAATACAGCAGTGGCCCAGCCTTCTGCAGCAACAGCCACAGTACTGGAACATTTTCTCCCTCTTTGTGCCATGGTGCTGTACACCATTTTGGATAAAATATCCACCAAATGGCGTATGGCCTGGTTCTCAAGTGACATCTACATATTGATCATATACACAAAAACTAATGTCCTAGCCTTAGGCAATTCTAAGAAGGTGCCAAAGTGGGCAAAGAAAGGGATCTCAACTGTAGCAGTTACCCGTTTTAACATACCTCACCAATGATGTATTGTTGTTTTAATGGTGTGTTTGACTAGCATCTTACTGTAAATGTTACAAATATGAACTATCTACTTTGTCTATGTGAGCTATATGTTACAACCACATCTAGTCCAAAAGTGTACAAAGAAATAGATCAAATGGAAATTCCAAAGCAAAAGCCACCAATCCTTCATCTCTTGTCAGAGCTAAATGGAGACGCTAGGAGAGGACTTGGAGAGAAACAGTGTGACAGTTTCTCATGGGTTCTGTTTAGTTCATGTGTACGGTAGCTGCTGTTTCAGTTACCAAATGTGGGGTTGCCTTGTGTGAGGCAACATGTGTCATGAGCCATCTGAGCTGTGCATGATCTCGACAAGACATGACAAGAACTATTTTGAGTACAGTACAGCTCAGCAAATCTATTGATATAACATATTTGTCTTTTGCAATTTGTCAGCAAAGGCAATCAAATGTTAAAAGGTTAATGAAAATAAAATGGACAGCAGATCTTAAAGCCTGAACTGCACTGTGACAAGATAAACCTGACACTTGGTGGCTTGTGTAATAATTGAACAGTGTTTCCTACTGTGACAGCTTCAACGCTGAAACCTGATCTATATATCACACCGAAATGACACTTTTATCCTATTCAATTACAGGGAGTGGGAGAATACCATGTGTTAATATTTCAGAAAAACACCTGATATATGGTTCATAAAATGATACAAGAATATTTTACAACATGTCACAAAGAGAGAAATTGCTTGTTACAGCATCTAATATGTATATTAAAATTATAAATCCTAAATGGTTAAGTGTCAACGTATATCTTCAATTCTCAACAGTACATATTTGTTTCTAATTTCCCAAAGCTATACTAGCAATCCCTTTATAAATTGGTTACACCTGCATAATCAGTCATTAACAAGCACACGCCATTATTTGCCCATCCTCCACCTGTCCTTGCCGTATCAAGAGGGCAGAAGGACAATGCTACTTTAGCTGATCTGATTCAACGTGATGACATACTGCAGCTATAGCCATGCAAGCTTTAGCTTAAATCTGACAACATGGGGACTACCAGGAGGGGCTCTCTATTCCTCAAAATGGATATAGATTCACACTTAGGACGGAAAAACGATTTGCTCATCTGTAGCCTTTTATATACAGCATTTACAACCATTTACTGTTCCTAGGTACAGTGTCAATTTGAATGCTGCTTGAAAGAGTCAATTTTAGCATAATATAACTCCAAAACATGAACGAGGATTAGGCCCTAATGATTTGGAAAAAGCCAAACATAAACCTGACCCCATGACTACCTTCAGCAATTAGCTAATGGTAACTGCTGCTCGCAAGGTAAGCTTTGCCCCTTATTCAACAATATGCCTAAGACATGCCGAGACATGTCAGCACAGCGTCCTTACCGTTTGGCCTGTGGTGCTCTGTGAGTCATTCATTGCAAGTCGAGATAAGAAAACTCCTTGAAAGGTCACAGCAGGCATCACTTTCTAAAGTATAAACTGAGGCAATTTGCTATTTTGTTGGAAATTGCTTACTTGGCTTGCCCAATGGATGGGCATGGCCAGGAAATTAAGTATTTCCTTACTTGTGGTCTAAAACCAATTAGTAATGCTGTTAGGCTATTGTCCGACAGCCGAAACCACACAGGCAAGCATTCAGACTATTTAATACTGTCATCTACATCCAAGATAAAAACTAAATGGGGAAACTGATGGCAATCCGGTAACTATGACTGACCAGAAGTTAATTTGACAAAGCACAAGGAAAACTGCCCAGAGGTCAGGAGGCAAAGGATATGTAAAGCACTTAAAGAAGCCTTTTATCAGGGAATCAGGTCTAACTGGGCCCGTTGGAGACCTACTCTCTCCTCCCCCGCCTCCTTGAAACGACCGACAAAATCAATCATCAGCTAGATCAATAAAATGAATTTATCTCTGTGCTCCCTTTACCTCCTTTCATCAATTGTATTTGCTGTTTTCTAAATGTGATAATACAATTATTCACGCCATCTTCATTGTGAATGGACCCGGCTATCAAAATTAAACCATGAATAGGCTGGCATTTTGAAAAGGGGATGCAAGCCTATGGCAGCAATGACCAGGTGATACATTAAGCGATAATCCTGAACAATCATTGGGCATTAGGCTCGGGCAATAAATCTACAAAATGACCTCGCTTCTGGCGAGAATAATAGAAGTCCTATGATTATGTCTACATTTTTCTTTACATCACAGTCTCTGTCATCCTTGGTCGTCCATCCACACTCTCCTGCTTCCCATATTTCTAACTCCCTCTACCATTTCCGCATCCCTTTCCACGCCTTTTCCCTTCAACCATGATGCCTCCCCTACTCCTCACTACAACCCCCCAGCTCGTGTGCGTGGCACACACCACTGCAGTGCCACATTAGTCATCATCAGGGACATACAGCTGTGGAAGTACAGAGTCCAAGGACTGATTTCTAAGCGGTAACAAATGCATCATGTAAATCCATACCCTCCCCCCATGTCTAAAAATAGCAGCTATACTAGATACTTTAATAAAATCAACAGCTAGCAAATGACACAGTGATCTTTAATCATTCTGGTAGCAAGTGGCACTGCTAAAAAATATCCACACATAAAACAACATGCTTAGGTACATAATCATCACAGGAAAAAATGTAATAGTCTCTTTGTATGAACACCATTGCATACTATCACATGTAAACTGACCTGAAAGGGGAAGATGTTGTCACTGCGGCCGACTCCTTCATCCATCCAGGACTTGGGGTTGAAGCCTGCGGGACTGTTGCGAGGGTACTTCTGGGAGGCCACATGGTTGTTTGGGAAGGTCTTCTTCAGTGGAGAGATAGAGTTGATGGGGGTCATCCCGCCATTCAGCCCTCTGCGATAATCTCTGCCCTGAGACCCTCCCCAGCCACCGCCACCACTCCCATAGCCTCCTCCGGGACTCCAGGAGGTGGAGGAGCCAGGGGAGGGAGAGGGGCTCTGGTAGCTGGCTGGACCCCAAGGGGACGGGGGCTTGTTCAGGCTGTTGGACAAATGCGGCAACTGGCTGAAAGCCGGATTCCTGTGCGGAAAGGGCGGAGGAGGGTGTGGAGAGGCCGGGGAGCGTCGATGCTGCTGGTGTTGGTTATGAGGGTGTTGGAAGTGGGGGTGTGGTGGGGGAGCTGGGTGGTGCTGGGACAAGGCTGCCGCTGGTCCAATTTGAGGGGAGAAGTTCCCACCAAACCCTGGACTGACATGGTGTGAGAAGTTCTGGAACAGCAGGGGCCCGTTGTTGGCAGAGGCCGGGTTGAAGAAGCTGACGTCTTCATTGATGATGGTTGATGGCGCCGGTGGAATGGCAGCTGACCAATTATTGAAGCTGGTAAGTGATGAGGAGGTTGTACTGGACTGGACCTGGCCATTTCCCCCAAGACCAGACGTCTCCTGGTAATCAAAGCCTGTCAAGACAGGTGACTCAAGACGCAGCTGCTTCTCCTTTCCGTTACTTCCTTCAGACGTGCCGTTGTCAGTCTTGGCATCCTCTGACCGGGCTTTTTCCAGTTCTGAAATGATCCCACCACCATTTCCAACCTCCTGGTGACTCCCAGGGGACAACTGCTGCTGCTGCTTTTCTTGCGTTTCTTGCATTTCCTGTTGCTGCTGTGCTTTGGGCTTCTCTTGGCCCCCCAGGATTTCGTCTTGCACGCTGTTGTGGGTGGCAGAGGCAGGGAAGAGCCAGGGAGAGCCTCCTGTGGTGCCATTCCCTGCGGCTGTGGTGCTGTTTATGAAGGCAGCAGGGCTCTGCGACACATTTTGGTGGTGGTGTGGGGGCTGCAGATGCGGGTGGATTCGGACCGGGAATGCAGACTTGTTGCCAGTGTTGTTTTGAACTAGGACACCAAACCCGTAATCCCCCATTTGTTTTCTCCCCCCACACACAAATGCTATCCCGTGATCGTTTGGTCCTATTGAGAGAAGAGCACACAGGATGGCAGGCAATGAGTTAGCAGTCAGCCTTTCTCATTGCACTATAGATCAAGGGATTTAGAAACAACTAGGTGATGGCCATAGACATTTTCTAGTGACATAAAATATATTATTTTTTTTCTGTTGGGACTTTAAATCTCCCTTTGTGAATGCCTAGATATATGATAATGATCATACAACACTGTCATGAATGAGCTCATTCTAGCACTGAACAATCTGCCCTTATTACTATGGTCAGTTTAAAAATGCCAACCAGTTAACATTACATCTTTAGCTAATTATAACCCCGTGACGTTGCCAGCTTGTAAATCTTCAGCTGAGCTGCTGGCAGCCACTAATATAGCTTGAAACACTGCTGTGTCGAGTCGACACAATCTCCATTTGGAAAGACCAACTGACAGATTATGAATTACCCACAATGCAACCTTTAACAGATCGCCGCTGTAAAACATATCAATGAACGTTTATAGAATTAACAATCAACCGTTATAACGTTAAGAGCAAAATTACTCGACCTTGTTTGACAGCTGTCACCAGAGACCAAACTCAAAATGTATCAGATATAAGCAATTCCATGAATAGTGTCAGTTGTTCATATTACATTTGTACACGTCAGGTAAAAGCCGACAATCAAGTGGTTGAAATATACTAGACAAATTAGCTTGCCGGCTAACATTTCCATCCGTTGCTAATGTTAGCTAGCAAGCTATCAACCGTTAGCATATATGCTAGTTAGCTGGACAGGCTGAATACAGGAGAATAAAAATGTCTTTTCACCTTCTGATCACCAGCTTCGACCTCGGCGATGTCTTTCGAGATCCTTCCTACGGTTCGAAAACGAAAGGTGGTGTCCTTGAAAAATGAGTGCGTCAGGCAGATCTTTTCAGAGACGATTTGATAGCTGACTCGTACAGTGCAGTCGGTCAGCTTTTTTTCTCCCTTCTCCTGACGTGTCCTGCCTGCTCAATGACACAGCTCTCTATCCTCTAATCTGGACTGTGTGGTCAAAGAGCTTTGTTAACGTGTCACTGAGTGAGATATACCCTGCCGCAGATGTTTCACAAGCCTTAAACGATCGGTTTCATTGTTCGCTTAATTTGCTGTATATTTTTCTCGCTAACTGTCTTTCTTACGGAGCAAGCCTGATTCCTGTATGCTTCTTTGGGCTGCCCCTCTCTCCTGAAACCGACCGTGGCCGAATGACAGCGAGAGATCAGCCGAGACTCACTTCCGCTTCTAGCCCCGCCCCTCTGCACCGTGATCACTCCCTCGCAGAGCCACACCTCGGTATCTGATTGGCTGGAGGAGCCGGCAGCCTCGCCTTATTCCTACAACATTTAAAGCCCATGCACCAATAATACAATCATGCCATCCGTAAGTACTGCCTACTGAGGTCAGATATGATAAAAAAGAAAAAGGAAGATCCACCCAGCAAGCACGGTGCTGTCCTTTCACGATTCAGCCGGTATCAGGTCGTGAGAAAACTGAGATACCCAACCCCCCCTCGAAAGGATGGCAATGCCTCAGAGAAGGAGCATCCGTTGCTTCAGCTTTTTGATCTCATGGTAAATGTGGAAATGAAACAGAAAGCTATGAAACCATTTCTAGCTGTTTCTGTTATAATCCTATTTGCTCCTATGCATTTGGTTATATTCCTATTTATTTATGTATATTCTATGTGCCATTCATTATTTTAGGATCCCTCTATACGGTTTTTGTTGACACTGTCATAGAGGTTTTGATTTATTTATAGTTTTTAGTACTGAGGTCACATTTAGTGCTCGCTGTGTTGTACAGGGCTGCCTTATATTACGATGTGTTTCTGCATCATTTCAGTAAATGTGAAGGTCAAAAGGTTAGACACTCCTCCCAATATAATGTATTCAGCAACACCACCTTTTACTATGAACACAATAATACACATGTTTACATGATTCCAGCAATGTCAACAGACACTTGGCATATGAGCTTGGTAAAGATGCAGGTTATGGCAGGACTGTTTTATTGGATTGCATTCAATTGTACAGCCAGTTAGTCGCTTAGTGTAGGTGGTATTGCACATATGCTATGGTATATAGGATTAACTGTATACACAATAGCTGTATTCAAATCCTTTTTATAAAATGTCATCTCCCTGAAGACAGTTTTTCATTTATCATGGATAATAAAGGACATATACATGTGAACAATTAATAGTATCACATTTTGTTCTATGCCACATTTGATACATTTATAAAATATGTTTCACTAGACACTACATATGCATTTACTATATATTTGTATATATCTACTGTTTGTGTTAGCTTACTATAGAGCCTAGAAGCAGGAGAAACAGCTAGCCCGGCTCTAAATATGCTGCACAAGTTCTTGGACGACTTCCTGGAGAAAGAAAACACCAAACGTATTGCCCAATATGTGTCTGATCGTCCAGCCATTTTTTTCCCCCATCACCCGCCCACACCATTTCCCCTGTCTCTGTATCTCCCTCTTTATCTCCCTCTGTGTCCTCCTCTGTGTCCTTCTCTCCTGTACGGTCATTATCACCTCGAGGTCATCAAACAGCTTTGACTCTGTCAGTCTCGCCGACCCTCAACTGGCTGAGTTACATACAGCCACAAACGGCTATCTAATAAATCTGTCACTTCAAGTCCAGCTGCTAGAGAGTGATAAATTAGGGAATCCGTGGTGGACTGCATTATTAAATGTGTACAAAAAGGATGAGCATGCTATGGAAGGTGGGTGATGGCAGGTATTGGCAGGGTTAGGGAGTGGCCGGCTTTTAGTAATCCGACAAAAAAAAGAAAATAGATTACAGATGTCTGATAGTAACACTATTTACATTTAGCTTGCAAGCGGTGAAAATATCCTCACATGCAATATATGTTAGAGGCCCTAAAGTGATGTCTTTCTAACAGTACAACAGGTATAATTTGATGCTGGAAATGATAAAAATGTAAGCTCTGCATGCGCTTAAAAGAGCAGACAAAGGACAAACTCTACTTACTTTAAATGTTTGCTGAGACCAAGTCCTTTACAACTGCAACATTTTTCAGATTTTCGCAAAAGCTTTTACCCTACTAGGGAACACAGTTTTTTTGTTCTATTGTCATTAAATACAATTTTAGAAAGGAGTAGCATGCCAAAACTGCATGATTTGGAGATAAAACTCTCAAGCTCACATTGTTAAATTGTAGTTGTCAGTTCCATTAAAATATCATGTAAGGCGTTTTTCGTAATCAGAAAATATTGAGTCTAGCGTGCAGGATATTCCAACAACTTTGTCTTCTTCAACATTATATAGTTAATTCATTGTGTAAGGATGATGATATAATAATTCAGCAGCTATCTTTGAGAAGTAATTATTATCCCTGCATTGCTTTTTAATCAATGTAATAGGTCCAACACTAGTACGGCAGTACGCATTTCTTTTATATTTTGTCATTTCCATCTGCGACCTCCATTTCATTTGCTCATTTTATAATCTGCATTTTTATCCACAAACCAAATGTTCAAGTGAAATCTTAATCGTGTGCTTGAGGGCAAGATCAGCAGGAGGAAGGAGTCATGTTTGACAGTCCTAAATTTGCTCCAGCTTCACAGTATCTCTTGTAGGGCGGAGTATTCCTCTCACAGATGGGTGGTTGTTTAGGCAGAGAGCTCAGCAGAGTTAAAGTGTTTCAAGGACGGAGTAACCGGTCTTACAGGCCTCACCTGGGAGACAACACCCTCTCCTTATTATTGCCCTTTCTCTATCTCTCTTTCACTCTCTGTCACATTCTCCATGTCCTAAACCAACAAAAACATATATACTTGTGAAAATAGTTGTGTATACATCTACGGTTTGAATCCAAAATGCTACTGTGATAGATGTGTAATTCAGCCTCTGTATTAAATAGCTAATAGCAATTTTTTCTGGCAATGGTTTTGTGTGTCCCCTGCCATATCCAAGACTGGATAGGTGCTATGAATAAAACATGGCATCCATTAAAAAATTAATCGCCTTTTACCTTAGGCATAATTATGGTGTATTCCTCCCAGAGTGCATGTGTGTGCACGATCATTGGTATGTGTGCACAGAGGTGTCTGAGTGCAAATGTGCACATGCTCATGTCATAACTCGAATGTTGGCGATTTATAACTTAAAATATTTCAATTTCAATCTGAAACAATTTCATGGTATTCTGATGTTAGAGATAATCCTGCAGTATTTTCACCGGGGCTTGGGAAGGTGAAATAAAGAAATGCATTTTGATCCATCTAAAAACATGACTGTTTTCCAAGTTGACATTTGGGACAAATACAAGGTTTTGACCTGTCAGCAATTGTATTTGTGTAAATTATGTATATCATTTCAAGATAGATGGTTTCTAGACAATGTAAGGACGCCTCATGATGTGTTGTTGTGTGTCTTATGAAATATTCAGGGAGTGTATGTGTTGCTAACAAAACAGTGTGGACACACTCCTGGGTGGCTTTGGGACACAAGGACTTCTGGGCACAGAGTGGAGTGGTGGGGGTGAATTAGATGATGCAAAAAGCAAATATGAGGGAGATGGATACAAAATATATAACAAATAAGGATCAGGGATGAGTGTGAAAACAAATATACACGAGTGTAGAAGCTAGAAGCTCCTATCTGACAGCTCTCCAATAAAACATATTAAGAAACACTAAAACATGATGACCTAGTTTCCGTTTAAAATGTCTCTCACAAGGATTTTGAATTGAATTGCATTCATTTTAAACATATTACTTATCTATGATCTTATTATTATAATCTTCACACACAAAGAAGACATGATACATGTGGCAAAGCCTCAGTCAGCTTCCCAATATGTCTAGTCATATTGATAGATTTAAATTAATAATTCATTATTATTGATAACATAATTGAATACATATATTGAAAAGTAAACATCGGTGTCCCTATTTTTATATACACACATCTCCTCAGTGTTGTATTATTTTGTCTGAAAGCCATCTCACAACCTTCATCTGTCGAGTTTATTTTGCCACGTTGTATTTTCCAATGGGACTCTATACTAATTAAGCCAAAGAGGTCTCTGCCGGGGCCGCGACGACTGTGAAAATACACTTGGACTGAGTGTGTGTGTGTGTGTGTGTGTGTGTGTGGTGTGTGTGTGTGTGTGTGTGTGTGTGTGTGTGTGTGTGTGTGTGTGTGTGTGTGTGTGTGTGTGTGTGTGTGTGTGTGTGTGTGTGTGTGTGTGTGTGTGTGTGTGTGTGTGTGTGTGTTGCAAAGGTCAGGCTGATTTCATGACTCCACTGGGTACAGAAGGGATAATAAATTACAACAGAGCAGCAGCTGGGGGTCAGTGATGTGAGTGTCAATGTGTGTTTGTGTGTCTTAGTGTAGACTACTAGTTTGAGCAAATGTGTTAGGGAGTTAACACATATTTCGAAATTCAATATTTTTCCATTGTTACAAAACTGGAAAAGCTGCAGTTTCACTCATTGTTCAAATCAATAAAGGAATGACAGGTGATGTGAAAAAACATTGCCAGTCTTAAAAGTAAATGTGCCAAACAATTTATGAACTGGGAAAAAAAGCAATGAATTAAATTTGGAGGGGCACCAACTTCAGGGGAAAAAAATTGGCAACATTTGCATAATTACTATAACTGGCATAGAAAATTAGTACTGGTAGATTACTCATTTTCGCCCTTGTGGTAGTCACGAGAATCAGATGAGAATTGAGCACATTAATGCCAAAAGGTTTCACAAAGAACTGGCTCTAAACACTGCGTCTTGTTTTAGACGAAATACTATTGAACCTTCTGATGTGGAAATTTGGTCAACGACGTACAGAAAGAAGTATCATTATGTTTGTCCATCTTTATATCTTTAAGTACTTCCCTCTATCTTTTGTGATCTCTTGTACTCTATATGAGGCAGTCTGCAATGTGTGAATTTGTTGTTGCCATGGCAATGTCAAATTTGAGCTACTTGTTCATTCATTCACTGTTGATGACACATTAAAGAGATTCAGATTCGGCTCATTTTCATTCATTTTCATCTTTATTGTATATGTCTTATATATTAACACGAGAAGTAACCTTTTGAAACAAGTATTGATCCGTCAAAGAGCCTTGTGTGTATGAGAAAGTGTTTGAGTGTAATTAAAGAATGTGCACAGATGTGTGTGAAATCAATTGAGGAACCGTGGCGCTAAAGCAGGAGTGGTTTCATTTACCTTCTGGGCACTTCTCCATGGCTGATGAGTCTGGCTGGGTGACAGCATGAAAGTAGCCAGGACAACAGATGCTGGATGCAGTGGCCAGCCTC